TTTTCCTGTTCTGTTGCAATTCTGATAACCTGTGAAATATGTGAATTTGAAAGCTATACCTGGATTAACTTTGAACACTAGTGGCGTTTCGCCAGTGGGGTCTGTTTCTTCGGTTTCATCTTCTGGAGCACATTTTCCTGATACAATCAAAGATGATTGGGAATCTGAGAATTCAGAAGAAGATGAAGAAAGTATGTAATAACTTCCAACTTAAATTGATAACTTATTTTATATATGTTACATTTCGTGTAATTATATTCGAGATCATTATTGAAAATGCGAATTTTTAAACATCTGGACCAAAAATTTCTTTTATCATAATTTAGCACGAGAAAAACGTAAAAAGTTTGCACAACTTCGAGCTCGCCACTATAATATGAAAGAGGCCATTCGATTGGGTCATAAACTTGTCGAAGAAGAACTTGATGAGAGTGATGGTGACGAGAAGAATGATCAAAATCCTGAAGAGAATCGATCAAATAAAAAGGGAAAAAAATCAGTCGCATTCTCATTAAATGATGGAATCCCTACATATACATATGAAAATGATGACGTGGAAGGTCAGGAAGAAGAGGAAGAAAATAATGATGAGGCAAACGGCGTAGTTTTGATGGAAACTTAAAATCTTTCCTAAATAACAATAATAATTGGATGATTCACTGACTTTATTTTGATCTATTCAATTCATTTTTCAACTTGCATTTTTTTTATTATTGTAAATACTGGTACGTTTTTATGTTTTTGCATTTTATTATTTTATTTTGTCAATTCTTATTATTTGAAATTTTTATTGTTTTTATATTTATTATCATCATCATCATCACCATCATCATCGTTATTTTTCAGAACTAGATTTTGGATTTTTTTGAAATAATATTTTACTAGTATTTATTCTGTCATATCAATACAATATTAATTATGCTCGTTATAAAATAGGACCCCCCCCCCCCCCCCCCCCCCCCCCCCCCCCCCCCCCCCCACCCCCCCCCCCCCCCCCCCCCCCCCCCCCCTCCCCCCCCCCCCCCCCCCCCCCCCCCCCCCCCCCCCCCCCCCCCCC